TTGGTGCCTAGTGTACTGTAGTGTAGTGTGTTGAAAGTCTTTTGTGCAGCACAGCTTTGTGGACCAAAACACAATACGTTGGGGTGGGATATGGTGGGTCATCACCACTAGGAATACACTGGAATACATTATGTTGCAATCACAACAACTCACCAAAACACAACTCAAAACTCAAGACCAAGGTTTTGATGGCTTTAGCTTTTGCTTACATTGTTTCTTGCAGCCTTTGTTGCTTGCCATTCGAGGCAGACTGCCGTCAGTGAAGTCCGACTGAGGGTGGTTTGACTACTTTGACGTGCATGTTCGCTTGGTCTGTGATCACCTTATAGAATCCGCACGACCAAGTGACTCTTCATTTGCGAACCAGCGACATGGGCATGTCGAATGTTTGCCCAGACTAGATCCAACCTGCGAGGGTGAAAGCGAGCACTGGAATGATCCGCCCAGCTCGAACCAAATCGATGATCCTTTGTCACCTTTTGTTTTGTTGCCACTGATCCAGGATCCTTCCAGGATCGCGGTGCTCAATCGGAGACCCCAGCAAAAGCAGCATGTCCCATGCTTTGTGAGAAATTCGCCATGCTGGTGGATGATGCCCTTCCACATCAGGAGGGGCGATCCACCAGCAACGAGGACAGAGTCTCAGCAGTTGGCTCCAAGACTTTGCAGAGCGTCACTTACTTCACTTGGTGCTGTTTGATGGCTCTTGTTAGATTCCCCTTCACTCAGAGCGGTTCGGGATCCTTTGGGTTTCACTCAGAAACTATTTGATCTAGCATTCAGAAGCTACTAGTAGCTCCTGGCCATTTTACTAGTATAGTGACAAGAAACTACTAGGAACAAAGGGCATCGCATCGCTACTAGGAGCAAGAAGCTACTATTGGGTAGGCCTGCCTTGTATGAGCCAGTTGCTGGCAAGTATCTTTTCAGACTTTGGTACATGGCTTGATCAGATTTTCCCTGTGAAGTATTCCCTGACGCTCAGCAGGGCTTGGCTTTTCAGATTTCACCAAGCATGCCCTACCAAGCGGGCCAAGAGCAGAGGTGCCAGAGACGCAAGAGACGCACGATTTGAGAGCGACAAAAGCAGATCTACTGTATAGAAAGGATGTACTGTAAAGAAGTGAGGACCAGCTATATATGTGTTGGATCCATGAAAAAGCTTGAAGTCAGGTTGACGTCTTCCTGTCCATATCCGGTAATTACTTACATGTTCTCAGACGTTCATCCTCAAGGGCTTCTAGCTCATTATTTTGCGTGGCGTGTTGTAGAAAGCTTCCATGACTGCTGCGACCAATGGTAAGGACACCACCAAGGGCTCAGTTTGCGGCTAGTGAGTAGTACCCGGACGATGTTACAACAGCCTCAACTGATGACGGCCTAAATCACCTGGCTAATACTGCCAGTCTGGCAGGCAGTTCCTCAAGCGCCTAGATCCTACTAGTAACAAGGGCATCGCTACTAGGCACACGTTGTTACTAGTAGCAAAAAAGGGGCATCGATCATCGATCCCAAAGATCTGAATCAATTGCAGAGGACCGGAGCCGATCTCCAAAGAAGGAATTGCAACTCCTCTGCAGTTCGGCGTCAGGGTGCTTAATGTATTTTTGTACTGAGGCTTGGACATTTCAACGTTGTTTGTCTTGAGCAGCGGCAGAGGGGCAGGCAGAGGGGCAGAGCATGTCCATGTTTGGGGGTATTGCTAGCTAGATGAAAGGGCCTTTGCCAAGAGCCCATACGCGTCCTTTCACGTGCACATGTCCCAACATTTTGAGACGCCCTTGTACTACTTGAGACCAGCTGCGGCATAGCCATCGGCACCAAGGAAGACCGATCCATCAAAGCTCACGGACAAGGATCTTAAGGAGCCTTGGCCAATTCACGGGCAAGAGCTGCACGGCTGAGTTCTTCAATGCTTCAGTTGTCCAGATAATTTCATTGATATTTACATATTCAAATATAGAATACCCATAAAGTGTTACATTCAACCAGGCGCAACCAGGCAAGGAGATCAATAAATCGCGTTTGCAAGACATTGGTGTTGCTGGCCTGGGTGAAATAAAGGGGCGCAACTTCTTTGCTACCTTAGAGAGGCCCTGTTACCTGGGTATTGAATTTGCAAGGGTGGGGGGTCGAAAACCCAGGCGAATTGAATCAGATTTGTGAACACCCTACTGCAGATGCACATGTTTGTCGTTATTCTGTTTAGGCTTGACATGCATAGGCTCTTGCGATGCTGAACCAGCTGTTTGTGGCAGCTGTTAGCTCAGGATGGATTTTCTGCGGACGAGATCTTCAACTCGAGCACTACCATGTGACTCAACTTCAAGCATCTAAAGACTGAAGGTTGTGAAGGTGTGAAACATTTCCGTACATTTTGCCTGGTTGGTAAGTTCTTTTTGGCGGGTGTATACTCCCTGCTGTAGCAGTGGGTGTTGGCTGACACGTCTCTCAGTTGACTCACAATTCAGAAGTCGTTTTTATATGTTTCGGGCGTTAGTGATGCTGTTTGGCCTCTGAAGAGTTGAAAAATGAAACCGATGCAATTCAATCAGAATGGCCCCGCCATTGGAGCCCGCTTCCTACTACTGCAGTCTTTAGTTGTACTGTATGTATGCAGCTTCTTGCAGGGAGCACTTGAGTTGGACAGTCAAATATGGTTTTTTGAACTCTTGAGCTCTTCAGATGGCTTTGGTCTTGTCTTGCTGGTTCATTATTTTTGAGTGGAGCCATTTTGAAGCCTAGCTGAGCTTGCTTTGCTGGGCAGAGCCCCAAGGAGTGGATACACATACGATGACTTGATTTGCTTGCCGGGCCACATCAACTTCGGAGTTCATGCCACTAGGTCGCAAGTTCCTCCCAAGGGGTTTGAACAACTGATCCAAATCCTGTGTCGAAAGGGTCTGGTGGCATGTTTTAATCTACGTAACAAAATTCGCATGACACCCTATCAGGCACACCGACCTCTTAGCTGCCACTGGCGGTAACTGATGCACTTTCCGCGTAAAAAAATCAATCAGACTTCTGAATGAGCATGGACATAGCTTGGAGGTGAGGATGGTCGTGGCAGGCCAAAAGACAAACTCTGTCTCACAGCATAGTTGTTGTGTTGAAATTCCCTTTGAAAGTTTAGATTTGTGAGCTTTGAAGCACTTTGCATTCCAGGCATATGCAAACAAGCATTCAAAGGAAGTATCGCAAGCTCAACTCAGCACTTAGCAGCTGAATGTATGTGTGAGGAAGCAGAGGCAAATTGCTTGAACGCTCGGAGAAGGTAGAAAAAGGAAGGTAGTCTTTTGCTTGCTTCATCTCACAGCTTAACTCTGTCCATGGTGAAGGAAATTGGTTGGGTCTTGGAGACGATCCAAGGATGTCAACCTCTCCTCGCGCTTCTCCAAAAAGATCACTTTGCGAACACCTATCGTCTCCAGCCCCATGGATACAGCTTCTTGGGATTTGGATGTTTCGAGGGATGCAACTACTTTATTTATTTTCTGCTTCCGGACATCTTACAGATGCTGAATATGAGTATGTTTGAGCTGGGATGGTTATGCAGCTAAGGTTACCGAGTCCAGCATGGCCATCGCCATGGCTTTGGAAGGTGTGAATTCTTGGGGATACGTTGGCAGACTTTGTCCGCTCCTGTACATGTGCATGTGGCAGGTACTGTAGTCACTAGCCTGGTATATGTGCAGGTATTGTAAAGACTTGTATAGACAGAATGAACGAATGAACAACCCCAAAGCCAATGAAGTCCAGGTTTCAGTGCCATGTTATTCCACGGTCAACTGGTTCTACACCGGATTTTGTTGCAACGGGGATCTCGTTGATTCTTTGAGCATTGGTCCCCACTTCACCCCAGCCACAACAGTAAGTCATACCATTGCTGTTTGTGTCACGGGACAAAGAGGCATGTTCAGATATGCATCACAATACGTCCCAACTCTCACATCCGGCTTTGCTGCGCACAAAACACCGTGACCGTGAATCTACCTCCACCCAGCAAAGGACATCTTCCTCTATTTAAATTAATTAGCTCGGGATTCAATCCCACACCGTTTTCAAGAGTCTGCGAATTCCTGCGGTCAGGTGGCATCGGGGTGATTCACACAAACATGAGCATCGAAGCTCAAGCCCAGGAGGTGGCTCGGGTGAAGATTCTTGGTTGATGAGAAGATATTATGATACAGGGTGGAGATGCTTTCAAATCCTTACGTGACTTGATAAAGGGCTGGCTGTTTGTGGCAGAGAATTAACATCCGACACTTAGGGATTGGCTTTAGATCGGTTTGGGATTTGGGAGGGTTCAAAGCTGTTCCACCCAGACGACCACGGTGTGCTAAACTGCAAACAACCGTGCTCAGGAAGTTCAAAGCTGGCTTCATTTTGGACCCTGTGACTTGGCCAACCTGCAAAGATTCACTTGCTGAAGGTGGTTTCTCAGTCGAGCACTGCCATACCACGCATGGCCATGCGACCATGTGCGCAGTTCGCACAGGTGCCCCCGGGCCTATTTTGTTGGAGGCCATCGCTACTAGGGTGTCGGCCATCGCTTCCTAGGTTGGAGGCCATCGCTAGCAGGCTGGAGGCCATCGCTAGTAGGGTGTCGGCCATCGCTAACCATCGCTAGTAGGTTGTAGGCCATCGCTGGCAGGTTGGAGGCCATCGCTTACCAGGTTGGAGGCCATCGCTAGTAGGGTGGAGGCCATCGCTAGTAGGTTGGAGGCCATTGCTAGTAGGGTGGGGGGTGGAGGCCATCGTTGAGGCCATCGCTAGTAGGTTGGAGGCCATTGCTACTAAGGTTTGCGTGCCGCCCACCATGACCTTGGAAGAGTTGGATGCCTTGAAGCAGAAGTTGGGCTTCACCGGCTTCCCGGTCACAGATCCTTGCACCTTTGGAATATGATGGCTGAACTTATGTAAGTTGCAGCAAAAGGCCGCAAGAGGCCAGGAATAGCATTGCAGTCTTTGATTCGCAATACGGTAGTATTTATAGTGCTATGATTCTTGGTTTTGAGCAATGGCAGAATATGGAACTTCGCAGTGAGCACGCTGAGGACTCTGGGAGGATGGGTGCAAAGCTGTTGGGACTGGTGACCAAGCGCGACTGTGACTTCATTGAGGACATCGTATCAGCCCATGTGGCTTCCAATGTAGCACTTGTTTTGCACAATAGCCCAAAGGCGGCCAGGTGAATGTACTTCATGGCAGCTGTGCATGTCTCCACAATAGGATTCAGTTCACCATCGCAGCCCACAAGTTTACTGTATGCAGCAAGTTGCCGGACATGTGCATGAAGAGCCACCACCGTTGCCAAGACGTGGCACAGTTTGCGTTGGTCATCATGTCTAGGTGGATGGACTGTAGATGACGGTTATCGACTAATGATCTAATTTAGCTGCTACAGATTTGGTTCGTGTCAATCTAGATTTGAACCTCCAACTCCACTTCGGCACGAAAGCATTGTTTTGAAATGCCCGTCTCCAAAACTCGCTTTTGTGCCATGTTTCACAACTGCCTGGATTCGGTGCTTTCGGTACCGCAAGGACCGAAAGACTCGGTTGACCTCCATTATGACGCCAGTGAAGGCCGGGCAAATGATCGACCTGGTCCGGCGGAGTCCGGCGTCCTGATGCCACCAATAGAGGCTGCTTGAGCTACTAGTACCAAGAAGCTACGAACGGGGTTCCTGGCTCGCTACTAGGAGCAAGGACGCTACTAGGGGGTCCTGGCCTTACTACTAGGAGCAATGTTCGCTACTAGTTGATCAAGCTACGTCACTTGTTCATTGTGTGTTTTTCGCCTCGATGCGTGATAGTTCGCCTAGGAGTCACGGATGATAGACAACTAGACCCATTGTTGCGACCGAAATAACGTTAAGGGGCTCGATAAAAAATGCTCCATAAGACTAAGAGCTTTATTGTGGCCAGGTCCTTGGAACCTTTCTGATGTTTTAGATACAAAAGCGTGGAACCGCACCGCACCTTACTCGGTGCATAAGGGTTGCACGCGAGAAGGCTTTTCAGGAGGTTTGCGCCCTGGTCACTTTATTTGAGGTCTGGTGGGGTCTGGCTTGCCATCAAGTTTCATGGTTTTAAGCCCGGTTTCTTGGAATTACTGTAACTTGCTGTGGGAGCCAAGAACTCTTGGGCAAGGTTGTTTTGAGCAATTTCGCCGTGGCTTTCAGTGAGGAATGGTGTTTTTGCATTTTCGACTTTGCCCCGGAATTTTTTTCGCTGTTTCAGGGAGCCAAGGCAACCTGTTGCCAACACGAGGGTGTCTTAAGTCGCTTGTGCCAGTCGGACAGATCTAGCTGCTTTGGACTCCGAAGCTTGCACAAAGGGTGGTCTAGAAAGTTTTGATTCGCCTCTGAACTCAAACAAGAGTACTGCACTGACAAGAGAAAGCAAGTGTACAGCCAACATGTTGTGTGGGTTTAAAGCATGGAATTTGAAATGTAGTCGCCGATTCCCATGAGGTTGGGAGACAGAAGAGTACAATTTTGGAAGTCCTCACGAAGCGCCAACACTTAACACATCTTAACACCAATCGCCTCGTCCTATTTCTCAAAAATCAAATAAGACAAATGAGATGAACAAAGGAAGGTAAGGCCCCCTTTAAAAGGGCCTTACCGTCATTTGTGCATCTTTTTCTTCTATGAACTGCATCACCGCCGACCTATCCCACCTCGTGGGGTGATGTGTTGCTTTGGTCAGGACTTGGTCCTGGCGAAGGAAGGCATCGACCTAGTGAGCTGCAACGACATGCTGCAGAAGTCCAAGTTCCTTTGCAGAAGACATCGTGCCAGCAAAAGCACACAGCTCAACGCCGGTAAAACCCGCACAAAGTCACACATTGGTGCGAACGCTGTGGAACACCTATTCATAAGTATACTAGGCTGAAATGACAAAGGACTTGTGAAAACTACCTCCAAATTGCGGCGGCTAAGTCATGAAGGTTTAGCCTACCCCCACAAGTATTTATGTCATGAAGCAAAAGCTTGGAAAAACCTCAAAATCAGAGATGCCAGAGGTTGTCACCAAAGATCCTAAAAACAGTTGACTTTATATTGACAAGCATCATGACATACGACTTTGGTATCTAAACAATGAATAAACCATCGAGAGATAGGAATTTGAGAGCAAAAACGCACAAAGGCAGACTTAAATGAGATACTCGTAGTAATGTGTTCTTAATGAGACAGGACAGGATTCCTAAGTCCCAATTGGCCTAAGTCATCTCACCCTAATCTTCCAGGAGCATGCCCCCCACCCCGAAAAAAAAAAAATCAGGACCAGGTCAACAAGGCCTATGTCATGAGTGTGTGCCAATGAAATTGCAAATTTAACATTTGTACATGACTTAGGACTTGCCCTGGGAAAGTTGTATGTCATTTCGACCCAATTGGCCTAAGTCATCTCACCCTAGTATAATTTGGAAAGGAATGGCGGGGGGTAATGACGGGAGGTTCCCCAGTGAAGCAAACACAGGAAGGATCTCGACACGCTATGGGGACAATAGGGTAAGTATCCTTAACCCTTTGGAGAAGGAAAGTTGTGTCCTTGTGTCTACCCCCGGATCGCACCTGGCGGTTCTTCATATTATATGGTTGTTTAGCTTCTGTTGTATCCTGTTCTGTTTTTTTCCTGATATTCACGGACAACATACTGTACATTACTGTACTATGGACTTTTGTTGGATCCTGCTTCAAAAGTATAGAATCCTTTAACAGGCAAAATATGAAAAGGCATTTGCTTTCCCTTCAGGCTCTTTGCCTTACAGTAACAAGCATCTTCTCAAGAGGCATGCAAGCTTGCAAAAGGCAAGTGTTGGATCAAAGATTTGTCCAGGTTGGCCAAGAGGGTTGCACAAACCGACCTGAGGAAGGGGAAGCTGCCGATTGTGACAGAGAGTGGCCTACTAGTTGCAATGGTGTCCAGAACTGACATCAAGAAGAATGTCGAGTTCCCGAACGCCACAAAGGACTGTTGGGTACCGAGCGCTCCGAACATTATGGGTGATGACTTGCATGAAGCGGGGAACTTTGTCCATGGGACATTGATACAAGGCATACCTAGGGTTCATGACTTGGAGTCACAGTTCGCCAACGTCAAGCCGTTACCGTGCACAAGAAATGTAAGAAATGGCGTGGATGGAGGCTTGGATGGAGTTGGCAATGATCTAGCGGTTTAGTTGGCACAGATTGTAGACATTTGTTGACCTATCCGGTTTCCAGAGCGCAAGGATCCACTGAACAAGCAGCTGCTGGTGGCCGCTGCGATTGGCACTCGCCCAGCAGACAGGGATCGAGTGAATGCACTTGTTTCCGCAGGAGTGGCAGCAAGGGTACTGGAAAGTTTTTAGAGAGGCTGCAACACTTTGTAGGGTGTTTTAGATGTTTTTTGACAGACAGGACAGATATATAATGATTTGCTTGCAGACGGGGGCAAGAAGTCCAACCCCACTGGTAGTTTTCTTTTTTGTTTGTGTGTGTGTTTGGTTCTTCTTGAAGTCATTGTGAAGGCTATGGCAGCTGGCATTCACTTACGCAACATGTTTGTTGCATGACTGGCATGATCTGTGAGCTTGCAGTTATGTATGATATTGTTTTTGGATCACAGGAGATGCACTTTCGCCGGGCTGACTAGTACTGTGAACTCCCCAGTTGCAAGCGGCGAGGAAAGATCATGATTCCGTGACGAGCGTTTAGAAGCCTGCATGTGTGGTGAGAGAATATGTCGTGGCAGGAGTGGATGCCATTATCATCGACAGCAGCCAGGGAGACAGCGTTTTCCAGCATGAGATGGTCAAATGGATCAAAACAAATCACCCGAACATCCAGGCGGGTGACCACAAGTATCCACAATTTAGCAGACGTCGTTTGTTTGAAGCTAGCCTCAAGGCCTAAGGGAGGTTTGCTCGTCTTTTCTGGTGTCAATGTGTCAAGCTATTGGAGTCTCGCCCAACGCTGTGATTGTCATTGTGAAACATTCAAACATGAGATATATAGAAATATGTTTGTATCTTTCCGCATAAGCCCGAAGAATGGTGCGTTGGCCCTAGCATCGAACTCTGAGACACACCAACCATAGCTATAACATGCTGATTTCGACGCTGATCACTCAAGCAGGTTGTGGCTGGCAACGTGGTGACGAAGCGCCAAGCGAAGCATCTTATTGAATGTGGAGCGGATGCCTTGCGCGTGGGTGCCACGGCTGCTGTGATGGGAGAATTGTGGCCAGCTTCTTCAGCTGTGATGCAACAGCTCACAGACGTTTTATCAAGAGTACAGTACTTGCAGGTAAATACGGTGACTCATATAAGATTGAACTGATACCAGAGGTTACCAATCCCTTCACCTTAAAGTATATTGAACGTGTGTGTGTGTGTTGCCAATCGAAACTTTGCAAGGTCCATGCAGGCAGAGATATTTGTTTGTGGAGAGTGACTAAGATTCAAAAAGGCATTGAAGCTGTATACCGAGGCCCCAAGATGTCAGTTCAGAGAATCTGCCGGATTCTCCCCTCTAAGGTATGGGTATTGGATCCATTTGCACCACGCAAGAGGTGTGTGCTTGCGGCCGTGCCCAGGCAGGAATTGGGCTGTCATCCATGAATGCATGACTCACAAGGAAGTTGCGGCTTTCAATTGTTTTCCTTTCAAAATACAGCACCCTGTGCCTTCGGGGCTCATGTGGATGATTCAATTGTATGGATGCAGTTCTTTTGCGCTAGCCGGGGATGTTTTTGCTTGACACTCATATGCTGAGTCATGTTGGAATTCAACCTACTTCTTCTCCGTGTTGTTACCACTTTCAAAACCTAGCGAGGGATGTAGAACCAACTATAACCAACTATATAATGTTCTTGACAGATTTCTTCAAGGCCCAAAAGTGTTTAGGTCGTGCATGTTTGAATCGGAACCGGGCAGCTTCCCAAGTTTCTGATGTGTGCAAGTCGACCGCATGCAATAGTGCCAGGCCTCGGCTGTTTACAATGTGGCGAAGCTGGCCAAGGTGTATGATGTCCCCATCCTAGCCGATGGTTCCTTGGAGAATGTGGGAGGATGACATATGACATATGCTTATGCTCGGATCTAGCAACGTCACAGTTAGGTTAGTCAAGCGGAAACCGAAATCCTTTTGCTTGCTTGTGGACTAGGCGTTATTCAGGTGCACACCGGGAGTTTCAAATGGGCCCATCATGATAGCTATACGATGAGGCACCAACAAAAACCTTAGACACTTGAACATCAAAAGGAGTGACCTTCGATGCCTATTCAATGGCTTCAATTGTGACAACTGCTAGGACAAGAACGGTGAAGCAGGAAGAGGTGTCAGATGCTAAGAGTTCCCTTGGAGGGTTCTTGGATGTTGTTGGGTCACCCTCAGGCCCCAACATGTTGGAGCGGTCGATGGTGATTATGGTAGTGGTGATGATGCGGATGAGGATCAGGATGATGACAAAGCTGAAGGTTCTCCTTGCACCACCTGAAGATCCAAGCTGCTGCTCTCAGGTGGGATTTCCAGCCCCGGGCACATCGTCAAGGCCTTGAGTCTGGGCGCTGGAGCGGCCATGTGTGGCAGTCTTCTGGCAGGCGATGGGATGATGGCAAATGGTCGCAACATGTTCTGGACGATGGTTGAACAAGTGCAGTTGGAAGATTTTGGAAGATTACTGAAGTTCATCCCAGGGTGCTTATTTGCAGTTTCAGCAGCTGCCAAAGATACGTTTTAGTTATATAATGTGAAGTGTTAGTGTTGAGTGCCTGGATGAATTCGCCCACTTGGTCCTATTCTTTGGCTCCAGGCACTTCAGAGACCCCTGGTGAGTATTTCTACTCTGAAGACGGCAAGCGCCTGAAACGCTACCGTGGTATGGGCTCGATCGATGCCATGAAGAAGGCCAAACCTTTGTCCAACATCCGTGTGTTGCGGAGTCTTGTTTACACATTTGACTGGAGAAAGTTCACAAAAAAGCAGGATAGCACCCAGGCGCCATGTAGCCAAACTGTGAGCTCTTGCTGGACTTTGTAGACTATGATAACTTGCATCCTACTGCTGTGTGCCAATGCCCGATTCCGATGAGGTTCCAGATTATGTGAATCTTTGTGATTTGATAGTTTCTTTCCGGAATGAGCAACAACAGGCAGCCATTGTGAGGGTCCCTGAGTTTGAGACCTCCCCGAGACGTCCGTGGATCAAAAAGTCACTGACGACAGACTGCGCAGGGCTCTGACGACAGATACTTTGGCACAGCCGCAGCAATCAAAGTGGCACAGGCAGCAAGAGACTTGCAACTTCGGTGTGCGCCACCAGGGGTATACAGAAGCAAGTGACATGGGACTTCATGCTTGATGTTTGTGTTGTTTGGTCCTCCAGTAGGTGCCTGGTGTGGTTTGCAAGAAAGACATTGCCGTCCCATAAGGTCATGGAGTGATTGATGCTGCATGATACTGCTATGATTCCATGGCTTTGGATGTTCGGCTTAGGTGTTGGAGATCTTAGCTTTGAAGTGGTGGAAAAAGCTTTTGAATTGTGACTGGGAAGAAGACTTTGATAGTGTAACGTGTTTGGCACCTGCGATCGCTACAAGATGAAACAAAGGTCGCTTTGGACGAGTGTGGGAAGTGACGTGTTGGTTTTGCTTTGTGCTTTGATCCTCACTTGCAGGATTTTGAAGCAACCTTTCGAGGAAGAGAGCAATAATTTCCACTGTCTCACGACCCCTTCGGCTATTCAAGTTTGCATGGGATTACCAAACCTGCCACTTTTCAGTGCTGAAGGGCACAAGCTGATGCTGCCAGGGCGTGTCCGGCACTGTGCAAGACAAGGGCAGCATCCACAGATATATCCCGTACCTGACTCAAGGCATCAGACACGGGATGCAGGACGTTTGGAAACTGCTTTCGCATTGATTCATAATAGTTTGCTTGCTCAACATGTTGCAAGAGCAAGTTTCTCAGAGCCCCTTTCCATTTATCCAAGTGGAATCTATCACTGCACTGTATTTTTCATGTGGAATCTTGAAAGGAGCGTTCTTATAGAAACCCTTGCTTGGAACAAGGAATCACATGATTGGATGGTAAAGGGGCGAAGGGGTACCCATGCTCAGTCACTTGCATAAGTTTAGGGCATCCTCAGAACTAGAGAAGAGTACTGTAGGCACTCAAATTCATCGTGTTGTTTTCAATTAAGGCCAGTTGTTCCAGTGGTGGACTTCAGATGGAGGGGCGCTTGCATCCATTCATGCTTGATCGGGGTCTCGTCATGTGCCTTGCGGCGAGGACATTGGTGCGCAAAGCGTGCAGCAAGTCCAATCGATGCTGCAGGACAGGGGTGGCAAAGGCGCCACCTCTCAAGGGTTAGTTAGGATCTTGACCATGTATGGCTAGGTGATATGGGATGCCTCGTTTCTTGCCCCAGCGATTGAGAGTTCAAGCCAAATCCTGGTTGCCGGAAGGGGATCTAGTTCTTTCTAGTCGCTGATGAGTGGTTTGCTGAGGGGAGTTCCCAAGAATCTGCAAGCGACATTGCCAAGGATTTTTCCGCTCAGTTCTTCCAAACCCGGTTGATTACCGACTGTCGAGTGACACCCTAGTCCAGGCGGAATGTGCCAACTTACTGTACAAGAACTTCAGGAGCTCCATGTGTTTCATCAGGTGCTGTCAGCCAAAAAATGCCGGAGGATATCGACCCAGACAAAAGAGCGTAGGTACTCATGTTTTGCACCCAAACCAACCCTGGGCAAACAGAATTCTTGTAAATTCTTATATAGATTAATACTGTATATTCATACATATCGAGTGTGAACTTCTACTAGTAGTAACAAGAAGCTACTAGGAACAAGTGCGCTTCTAGTAACAAGTGCCTTACTAGTAGTAACAAGAAGCTAGTAGAAACAAGTGCCACGCTACTAGGAACAGGTGCCTTCCTAGTAGTAACAAGAAGCTATTCGTTTTTGTGAATTACTCAGCAAGTGCCTCTCGCAGGATGGCCAGTTGCGCTTTGAGCTGCGGTCCGCAGCGGCGCAGCGGGAGGGCGGAGTGCATGGATTGCATAGCTTCGAGCGTCACTTGGCAATTGTTACTGTACTACCTTTGCATATCAGTGGATTTGAGATCATGTTGCCTAATTATTGGGTTGGTCAATAGAAGCTACGAAAGAACTTCAAAGTTGCAGGCTTCCGATGCAGAAATCATAACGACTCACAGTGTTTGGATTGACCTTCAAGTCAATTCTCCAATAAAAACAACATAATTTGACATTGCGAACAGCGAAGGGAATTCTTCTAGCCCTCAGTCAGATGGTAGCACTTTGCCTTTTCTGCTGTATGTTCTTGGGAGTACTCGCCAAAAAGGAAAGCTCTTTGACTCCTGAGTTGGACAGCCCTCTCTTCCGTTTCTTTAGCAACGATGGTGTCAGCATAATCTTTGGATGTTCGACTTGATAGTGGCGTCGATTTCTGCTACGAACTCACAATACAATGTGATATTGTGCTGACATTTCCTGTTTCCTTTTGAACACTCTTGGGCTTCATTCCCACCTTTGGCCTGGGAATCCGCCAATTATGTTTCCGCAAATGTTGGAAACATCCCGTTTTGCTTCATTTGGAACCAAAATGAAAATACTATATATATATATATGATTATAATGATTATATATTATCAAAATTTAATGAATATAGTTTGATAGATTTTGAAATAGATAATGTTACATATGATGTTTGTTATTTCTTTATGTTGGAATTTTTTGATTAATCTTTGGAAACGATTGACGATAGATAATTTTTGCGAAATGTTCGTCTTAGAATATATATATATATTTTTTTTTAAATATAGAATTTATGATGGGCAATTAATTTGATTATCGAATAATAAAATAGAATAGAATTGTATTAATTTTTGCCGAATAATCCCTATAGAATGTTAATATGATTTGGCATATTATAGAAATATTTTGTTTAAGAATTATATAAATATTAATTTATTTGAGATAGATTCATTTTGAGGATTTTTGGGGTGAGAAAATTATATATTGATGGGTAAATAGGTTGATTATCTTCGTTTAAAGGATAATATATGATAAGGGGATATGATTTTGATTTTATAAAAAGAATTTGGAATAATGGAAGGTTGAACATTTATTTTAGGATGGATGGATATTTTATAATGCGATAGATTGGATTTGATTTTGATGTTATTTTAATGATATATTTGGAGATATTTGTTGTATGGATTATTATATTGTTTGGGATTTTTTTATATATAAAATTAAATTATAAAATTTTAATGTTGTCTTTAAAATGAATATTAATTTTAATATTATTTTTTGTTTTATGAATTTTAATCCTATAATATTTATTAATATTTTAGAATAATAAAATTTTAATATTCTAGATTTTTTTATCTAAAATAATATGTTAGCCTTTATGTTATGCATTTTTGTTTATAGAATGAGGATTGCCTTGGTTATTTTTATAGGATAAATTAAATTTTGAGCCTACAATTTTGTTGCATTAGTGCCTTAAAGGTTGATTCTCTTTATGCTATAGAAGAATTATGTAGTATATTATAAGGGTTGAAAAATATATTCTATAGTGGGATATTGTGTTCCTATAGAGCTTGGTTTAATCATTTATTATTATAAAATGGGGTTCTTAATCCCCACCACTTATTCCACAGAGGATATTACATTTATATTATTAATATGTTTTAAGTAATATATATATATACATATGATGTTATTTATATTACGAAATATAATTGTGTAAGGATTGATTTGAATTTATATTATTGAATGAAATAGAATATGTGTATATATTTGATTGGAAAAATGATATATATGGGTATATTGATATTGGTTTCCATTTATTTTAATTTATATTTTATGATTTATTGATCATTTATATTTATATTATTATTAATTGAATTATATTTGACGAATAAAATTATTACATAATGAATTTTGATGTATAATTCGAAATTATATTATATAAATTTAAAATTATTGTATTTAGGGGTGCACGAAAGTAAGGTTTTGGAGTTGAGTGGTTGATGATGTAAGAGATATTTTTCTTAATTTTATATTATTTAAATGATAACAATTAATTCTATCGAGATCGATATATTATTGATTCGTAATATTATGAATATATTGTTTTAATATTGAAATATTATAATTGATATTTATTTTCTAGCTATTTTCGCACGTGGCCCCGGGGGTAATTACCGTTGCATTTTTATTATATCTGTTCAAGCGACAGGCCCGCAAATGGCAAAAGAATAATTCACAAAAATATATGGAATTCTTATCGAATATGCAATTGTATTCCATATTCACGATCAAATATATCAAAATTCCATGTCCGTTGAATCATTTGATATAGATATAATTTTATATTTATTTCATTTAATCGTTTATTTTGACCGGATGCGTCTGGACGTTTGCAGCGTTCGCCGCTGCCAGCCTTCGTAGAAGGCGCCAGTTGAGTTGTGTTTGGCGAACGAAGTGAGTAAGTTACGAAAATCAACCTTCGTAGAAGGCGTCAGTTGAGTTGTGTTTGGTGAACGAAATGAGTAAGTAGGGGTGGCCCGAGAAAGGGCTAGATATCGAAAATCAATTATATATGGTTTAATGATAATATATATATAATAATTCGATATTTGTTTAAACATAATCTAAAAATAGAATATTCATATATTGATGAATTTATAGATTTCATAAATGATCTTAATATATGAATAAATTATGTTTTAATAATTCAAGAAATCGAATCAAATATATTTTTATATGAATAAAAGCAATATTTATATATATTATTAATAATTCAATATAATATATTAAATATATATATTAAATAGATATATTTATTTTAATTTGAGATTGAAAATTTAAATGTATATATATATAGAAGCGAATCTTTAGATATTTAACGATATATATATATATTAATATGATATTTATTTATATTAAATAATATCTATTTAATAGATATTCAATAGATAATTTCAATATATATATATAATAGTTCTTAAATATATATTTATTTAATATATATAATATTACAAATTATTGAATATAGATAATAATTGAATATTAATGTTACAAATCATATTATAAAAGAAATTTCATATATCAATAATAATTGTTTATTTATATTCATATATAAATGATGATTATACAATTATAAACAGACAAAATTAATCATAAATTCAATTAATAATATATATAATTAAATGAACATAATCTTGAATTCAATTTGTAATATATAAAATTAAATAAATATAGGATTATATCAATTCATATATTCAATATAGGATTCAATTATATTTTTATATATTAATAAAAATATATCATATTTATATTTAATAATTAATCCTCACAATCTAAATCAATTTTATGGTAAATATAGGAATGATAAATAATCGTATTTATGCAATAACCTCAAACAATTCTTATATATCACGATTCTCATATATAATATATATCAATATTCATAAATTTTGAATGTGTCACATCCCATTATATATAACAATCCCTACAATATTTTTCCATATGGCATTTCATAAATTTCTTATATATATATGATTCCTTTCTAATTAATTTTCGTATTTCCCTATCTCAAAGATTATATTTAAAATAAATACAAAATTATAGTTAATCACAAAAATATATATTCACAAAAAATGATCACAATTATTCAACCACAAACCACAATGAACCACTAACACACAATCACAAATATACAATCGCAAACACACAACCAGAAACACAAAAACACAAATATTTTTCCCACACACATTTTAATACAATATCTTTCAATATATTATGAATCAAATTGAATGAATTCAATTATATCAACAATATATATAGAATTTAATATATTTAATAATTTAAATTAAACTACGCAATATAT